GGCACTCCAATAATTGACGGCATTAACCGCCTCTCTGACCTAGACGCCCACTACGATGGTTTTGGATCTCGGTCAACTCACCGCGCCTACCTTAGAAACAAAAGTCGCTAATGCATGCCTGGATATGCAGATTCTCACCTACACGCTAATCCCTCCTCGCCGCTCCTCTGACGCGATGGGCCACGACTGACGCTCACAACATCTCTCCTCACCTCCGGCACCCATCACAACACGCTACACACCCCTACTCCGAGGACGGCTGCCTATCTCCCCGTCTGTAACATCAACCACAAGGGCGACACACACACACCTCACCATTCATTTCGTCTGACGGCGGGTTGGAGCAATCAGCAAGAAAATCTACGATTTTAACTCGCTATCTCCGACAGGCCTTCGGCTGCCAACCATGCCCAAAAATGAAGAAGAAGAAGAAGAAGAAGAAGAAGAAGAAGAAGAGGCTAGGTTATTGACTGAATTTCATCCGTACTGACGATCCTGAATTGCCCTCGCTGACATCATCCAAGCAATTCGGCGTATTTAGCCTGGCCACCTGTCTCGCATTATAGCCGTGTTCCACTAACATACTTTGTCTTTGCAGCGACCAAGGACGTGAATGATAGCACATGCAGAGGTAACAAAGCTCTAGAAATAGATTTGGGTTAAGACCGATCTAAATAGGGTCGTTAGCGCATCATAATACTCATCTACACAAAAGGAAGGGAGAAAGGTTAGATGGGCATAAAGGTGCAATGAGAAGAGATGGAAACTGGTGATACATAGAGTAATGGTTATTTGTACAAACGGGATGAGCTATAGCATGATAGTGACCTGGCTGGATGGTAAGGCGCCGCTCAAATGACTGCTTGACAACCGGTGGGGAGCGCAACGCTGTGGGCAACTGCAGGGGAAGGCCGAGAGAGCTGCCGACGTAGAGAGAGAGAGAGAGGTAGAGAGAGAGAAGCGAACGTTACGGTGAGTTAGGAGGAGGAGGTCGGTGGTAGAGAGAGGGCAGAGCACCGGCCATTTTCGCAGACACGCAGTTTCACCATCGCCATACTATGCCCGTTCGGGATACGTCACACCATTCAAACAGCGTTACATCTTGTTCGTTCGCAGTTGACTCGTTTTAGCCTCAGGTTTAGATCATGGACGGGCTCATGTGATCCGTGTCCCTCTAGCGGCTGTCACAGTTACAGCCAAACCAGCAGGTTTGCTTCCCCCACCCCCCCATCTCAGCCGGTGTACTGATCAGTCGTTGCTGCTCGTACGTATTGCTTTCGGCCTCATGGCTGAGGCGGTGATTCAGTGCGTCACGCCGATACTGTGACTCCCGGTCGCCGCCTCCTCTGTTTTCCGTGGGGGTAAACTGTCGGTCAAGCGGGATCTTTTCACCTGCCCCTCTGACCTTATCCGAACTTATTCAGGCCTTAGGCGTAGCGCGTAGTATGTAGGATGCGGGTCCTTGTATCCGTTAACTGTGTCTAGTCAGAAATTATTTTCGAGAACAACTGTGACTATCTTCCCGTTGGCTCAGGCGACCACTCTTGCTTTCTCAAAGACGACTTTTTAGTTCCATTATTGTGCATGGAGAAAGGCAGCAAATGAGATGCAGCTTATCCTCGAGGTTGAGTGCAAGGCGGTGTTCGCACAATCTTGCGCCAAGGAGTTTGCCCGTTTCATTAGTATATTTCGCAACATTATTTTGATATTGGGTCCTGCATGACACTGCTTACTGTTCTGTTGTGGGTTGCGTGTATTTCGACCTCATAATTTGCCGTTTGGATTTAACTGCAGGTTTATGACCTATGTTGTCGCCTCGAAAACATTTTTTGAATATGGGATCGTAAACCAGAACTTCCGTTTTTTATCCACTGATCGCTCAGGTGGGGGGCTCCTGTGGCACTTGCGTATGAATGACTTAAACGAAGGACTAATATCTCTGAACCCACGCAATATCTCAGTAGCATCTCACTCTCATTCATTAGTTTTCAAAGAACGGAGGGGCTGGGTCTACCTGACGATATCCCAAGTCGTGGACTCCGACATATACTCCCGTTCAAATGTTTGGGGACAATGAATCGAATTTCAAAAGGTGCCACCGTCCACATCCGTCATTCAAAAAATAAGTGTGTATATACGTTTATTTAGCCGAAAGTGACGACCTTGAAGTTTTGGGAGACCTGTGGTTCCCGTCACATTTCCAGAACAGCAAAGTCAGTCTCTCCGTCCGTCCAAGGTCACAAGTTCTTTGAACCCATGCCTGGATTTCGCCGGACCCCGTGTGTTCCCATTGAATATCCCGTGCACTTCGTTTATTGTTTTTGGGAGTGAGGACGGAGGGTCCAGCACGTTGTTCGCTTCCAAGTGGGGAGTTTGTTGATGGCGGCTTCAGAGATTGTGGAGAGTCGATTGAGGGTAATTATCAAGTACTCGAAATAACGCATCAGAATCTAAGATTTTTCCATAAGAAATGCTGACCTGTCGGGACTGAGCAGTGACACGGTTACTTTGATAGTGAGGCTGTAGACAGCCTTGAGTTAGGTGGAAAAATTAACCACCGCGTTGTCGTTTGCGTAACCTTCTATTTGTTAAGAATTTTGTCTAATCTGCTACTCTCCGTCTTCTAAAACGTTGTTAAATCAGGCTTCGACGACGTAGGTAGACTGCTTTGGATTTGTCCGTAGCGCTGTTGACGTGAGCAGCATGTCATCTAAGAGAACAGACTGCAGTCGTCGAACCAGCCCTGATGTTAGCAGCGTCCGTAATTAAGGACTTTCACTGCGGTGAACTGGATGTTATTCCGTCCGTATTTGTCACCGGTGGGTCACTACGGTTATGACGTCTTCCAGCGCACGTGTTTACTTCTGTCTGTAGGGCGGTTGGTTTTGAAATGGAAGCCGTGAGCAGACACATTAAACAGAAAATTATTTAAAAGACGAGTTGCTCGTCTACCTTGCGATTTCCTGTGACGTTCTAGTTGGAGCCTTGTCCTGGAGGCGGTGAGGTAATAATCGATCCGGGTGTCGGTGTCGCAGATCGTCTTTGCCACCAGGACGTTTTGTCGGCCGCGCCTCAGGACATGAAATTAGTCCAACAACCACCAACATCGCGGTCGGGCGTGCATCTAGGTCGTCTTTTCTCTTATTTAAAGGCGGAATATGATGTCAGTATGGAATGGGTCATGTACTGTTCATGCTCAGAAAAGCGGAAGACTGGTATCCTTGCAGCCGCCAGCCTTCGAGGACCGGGCATTCACTCCCATGCAGAGCGGTCTGTTCCGACGCGAGCAGTAAATTCATCAAGGACAATCAGTTTGTCTGTTTTGGCCAGGTGGAAAGAAGGGTATGCAGGCTCCCTCAGAATTTGTTCTTCATCCGGTTGTAGTTTGTCATTGGGGGAGGATCACAGGCGATGATGACGATAACTGCTTCACTTCCCCAAAGAGGTAGCCGTAAGGTCCTGAGGCGGTCGTGGATTCCCTGTGGCGGACGGGGCGGTCGTCACGCAATGTCGTTCCGAGTGGTAGGGGTGACACCAGCGTCTTGTGGCACCGCTTTGTCTTTGAGCGGCCTCTCCAGACGAAGGTGCAACTGGCGTTTGCATCCTTCAGTTGCCCTTGTTCGGAGAAGCTAGTCTTACTGAGGGCAATGGCATCGACCATTGGCGTGCCGGTTCTCGAGCGACCAGCATTGTCCTGCAGTCTGGCCGGCTGCTCAGCAAGCTGTCTAAAAGAGAACGAACATTCCAGTCTGTCAGAGCCAGTAAGGTCACTTTATTAGCCTGTTCAGTCAGATGACTGCTGTTGTCTCGCTTGGTGTCCCAACCCAGTCTTTTGCGTCCACGAATCACAGTACACATAAAGTCGGCATGGTTATCCAGAATATGTTTAGGATGCCATCTCATGAGGCGGCATGCAGTACTATTTCTAATAAGGGTTTTTGAGACACCCCTGACGAAAACATAACTTCGCTATTGGCCACGTCTTTTGTTTAATGGGAACGCGACATAGCTTAGCCTCGGCGGCTTACAGGGCTGCATGCCGCCCTCCCCGTAGAATTCTTGAGGTGGGAAAGGGAAGGAGGAGGAGGAGGAGGAGGAGGAGGAGGAGGAGAAGAAGCGATAAGAAGATGAGTAGACTTACCCGGCATGCAATACACGCAACAGTGGATCCGCACATCTGATCAAGTCCGCCAGTCGGGGTGGTCATTAAGATATGGCTGCTAGGCAAAGCATAGCTTGGAAGAGCCCCAAAAGATATTTGGGCACCAGTTAAGGAGCGTGCTGAGTAGCCACAACCTGCGCAATGCACCTGGAGCGACCTTTCACCCCTACGCAGTGTACGCTCTAGCCGGGCGCCCCAAACCGATTTATTTCATACAGAAATAAAGACACACCAGAGAGTGAACAGTCAGCATCATGATCGCCTTCCTGGATATCTTGATGTGTTTACAGGCAGTACTACAAATGCCATTTTATAAGTCGCTGATTGAATCGTATTGCGACAAAACAGGAGAACGTTTTCTGTCTCTCCTTTCTTTGTGTGTAAGGCTTGCATTGCAGCCTTTTAACATACTTTCATTTTGAATGTTATTTACTACTATTCACTCTGTTTTACATGTTTTTTATTTTCTGAATTGTTTTCCAAATTCCTTGGCAAATGCATAGCTGTTTCAGATATTCTATATTCGATTGTATCATGCAATGCCTAAAGCACACCGTTTCTTAAATGTTTCAAGTATTTTTTCCTTTTCCGACGGTGCGAGTATTCTCAGTGCTTTCTGCCTACCGCCCCTTGTCATATCCATTTTTTGCCAGACTTCTTCTATTCAACCCACTGCTTGCTTTTGAATTAATATTCATAAGAACGCTTTAAGGGTACATGAGCGCGGAAACGAACCGATGTCGAGAATCAGGCAGTCGTTAGCGCCTGAGTAACCTTTATGTATTTAAGCCACTTGGATGAATTCCCGCTCGAATCAATTTGGTAGCAGGAGGTGATCATGATCCACCTGGAGCCGGTACAGCTTGTCTCGACTCCGCATGTCGTTAGTCTGCCAAACGATGTTGCCACTACAGACGCATGCACCACGTATCTTAAACTTAAGGGAATCAGCGTCTTTTGCCAAGAACTGCCCAATGCCTATTCGGTCTCCCCGGATGGCTTACTGCCTGTCTTGAACATACATGGGCGACTGGTCTCGGGATTCATGTCGATGTGTCTCGCTATCAAGGCCACTAAAAAGAATCCGAATCTCGAATTGAAGCCGGAAGTACTACAGACAAAGAACTCCCACCATGTGTTTTTCTTCTGGTTATCGGACGCCCTGCGGAACATTGCACTTTACTTCTCCTGGGTAAATCCCTCAGGAGTTCAGCAGACAAAACATACACTCCAGAAAGCTTTTCCTTGGCCTGTCTGCAACATTACATTTAATCGTCAAAAAATGGCCTACGAAAAGTACATGGAGGCTATCGGATGGCTTTCGCGGGGACCCGGAGAAATCGTTGAAGAGTTCGATCGTGTGTGCAGCAAGGTTACTAAGGTTCTGGCGAATGATACTTTCGTCTTCGAGCGAAAAAAGCCCGGAAAAATTGACTGCCTTTTATGTAGTTACCTCGTGACATTTGAGAAGTATCCTGTTTTCTTTTCTCCACTGCTTGGTGTGATCTCCAAGTATCCTGCCCTTCGACAACTTGTGACATTGCTTGATAGATCCCTCTTGTCGAAAGTTTGACTTCTTTTATAAAATATGTAGATTTCGCTGTCCTTTTTCTCTTAATTGGCACATGAGGTCAATTGCAGATGGCGGAATTTTGTGTCACGCTCTTCGAAGAAAAGACCCTATCCAAAAACAAGGTTCGTGTTGCGTCGTGGTCGCCGAAAATAGACATAGTTGCCCTCGGCTCTCCCAATGGAACTCTGTCTCTTCATAGGTAATTTATATTTTCACACATGTTTGTTGGAATGCAAATGCATTGTGGTTCGACAGTATGTCTTCCTGGCGCACTAAATCATAGGTTTTATTGATCTTTGTAACTTTGTGGAATTATCTTACGGAACTTCTGGGACTCTTTGGGTGCTTGTCACATGTATCATAATCGGTTTTCCCTTCCTCAGCAACCTGTGCAAGCCGGCCCAACTCAACGGCCGATATTATATGTGCCGTTCTGTTTTGGTACACTGACCCATCGTAGCAGAAATTGTCCTGTCACTGTTTGCACGACTAGATCAATATCTTTGACGCCGGAATTCGGTGTGGCCGCCTGCCTTTTCGGAATTGTTTTCTTGCTCACCCTAGTTATGTTTTTGTACTTAACCGCGCAAGCACCTGAACGCCATCATTGTTTTTGACCTCTGTAGTGCATGGGCCGCAACCTACCGTAACACTGGAGCGACCTGTCCAACACTCAGCAGGTTTTTGTGGGGGAACTCAGCCCAGGCTAACGCCGAGGACATCAGAGAAGTCACTCGTCGCCATTAGCGGAGAGTTCAGTCCGTATTCCATGCCAGTGGACTTCAGTTTATGTTATCCTAGAGCACCTGCGCGGTACTTCGAAGCATATACAGCGGAAGACCGTATGTACAGCTGGCGCCCGTGTCCACATTGCGGAGAGAGTGAAAGCAACTGAATTTAAGCTCCTGGTAATGGCGTAATCCTTAGTTGATTGGCACTGAACTGCCTCGCAAGTCGCACCTTTCTGGCAAAACATCCACGGCCGTGGCTTAACTCGAGTCATTCTCGTTGCCGGTAGTGGCACCGCACAGTACGGGATTGTAGTATCAGTGGTCAGTTTGGTTTTAAGTACGATTGTCGTTTGAGTATCAAGAGGAATATTTGTAGCTAGTATTTAACTCTTCCTGTTCTCAAAGCTATATTTAGTTATGTAGTGACTAGGACTCTCCGTAGATACGCCCCTTCTCTTTACCCTGACGTTCTACTACCCGCCTCGGTAAAGTCACACTTTGGGACGCACCTGACTTCTGTCTTTCACCCATCCTAGGCATTTTCCGGCATGTCACCAGCTTCCGAAGTTGTGGCGTATATCGCAACTACCGTGACGATGCCGCAGGAGTGTAGTCGTCGATGACTGCCGTTTGCAACATATGAGAGATTTGTTTATTTGACCATTAATCATTTGCCATAGCCTGTCGACCACAGTTCTCAACAATGCTACTTCAATAGAACTGGGGAAATTTCTCATCGCCTGACACGTTAGTATGGGGGATTCATGGTGAGGCAGCTAGTGTTTAGATAGTACAGTGCGGCACACGCAAAGTTTGATTCAGCTTGCAAATTTGAGAAAAGTTTCTAGAACACTACCATCCGCCACTCATGGACGCTTCAGATATCCAGCCTCTAGACCGTTTTACAGACCCTGTATTCCCGTCTGGATGTAAACATCCATTGGGATATTCTGGCTAAATACCGACATTGTAGGCCACACTTTAATCTCAGACAGACTCATGACCTCATCGGATTGTTTGTCGACATTGAGAACGACGAGGCCTTGTCCCTGGTGTTCATTTTTGACTTTTACTGAGAGTTAATTTTACTGGGCCGTGAAGTAAGTTCGTCACTATTACTTGCGAATTTCCCATTTATAGAGCCATATTATAGCAGGCATCATGCCGCTCAATTAGATTAGGATGGAAGCGGAAGGACTATGACGGGAAGTTGGGCAATTTAATTCGGGAGTTTGACAATTTTTGATTGTTACTTTTGACGCACGTCCATTCTGTTTCTGCTTATTACTGTTCAATCATCCTTTGCCCTGAGTCGAGCTTTGACTTAAACGGTGGGAAGGAAGTACTGACTAAAGTTTTAGGCACTTAATGGAGACCATTTCTATCTATTCCCGTGCCAGTGGTATTCACTTTTGCATTAAAGTGTTTTCCTTTAAAAGATATAAGATGAGCTTGACGTGGGAGGTCCACTCACCTGAACTCGGCGAAATAACACAACTTGCCTGGCAACCGAATGGCAAAGTTATCGCGGCTGCCTACGAAAGCCAAAAAATTCAGATGTTCAATCTCTCAGACGGCTCACTCATCCATCACATGACTTTTGACAAGCCCATTTGTGATCTACGCTGGATTGAGTGCGATCCTCCCTCTGATAGAAAAAAGAATCCCTCGCATTCGTCTGATTACTTTCCGCCCTTCGATGCTTTGGCCATATTCACAGAGTAAAATGTTTTTTACCCCGAATGACTCAATTATTAGTGAGGTGTCGAATCATCAGAAGGTCTTTCAGCTGTCTAAAACATTTCTTGATCCGGACTCAAGGTGCGTCTCGTGTTTTTTTATGCCCTCCAATTCTTAGATTGTCCATTTTCCTAGTCTACCTTGACGGTTGCATCCATCTCTTTGGCTGTGGCGTCTATGAGATAGCTCGCATAGACACTAATTCATGCGATTGGAAGGTATAATAGTTCTGTTTTGCTTACTTAATCCAGTTTTATCAGTCCTTCTTGGCTGCTGATCTGAGCAGCCTCTACTATTTGACAACTACGGTCAACAAAAACCTCTGCTTAGAACTCCACAAGGTGCCACCTGACTGATTAACATAACTTTAACTAGCTGGATACGAGACCACTGTCGAGCCTGCGAAGACCGCTGAAGCACCTTTCCTTTCATATCTCGGCTTTGTTGCACTGCAAACAGGCATGTTTCTACCGATTTTTGTTGTCAAATTATTGAGTGTTCGGTGCTTTTGTGCGTCAACTATGAGGGCGTCATTTCCATTCCTTTTTATTTTTCTTATAGATTTTGTTGTGGAGTCTAAAACAATTGAAAAATGCCTGGGAAAACACTCTACTTGAGTTAGATACAAAGTTGACGGCCTATGCGCGGGAACGTCTTCACGCTTCTATGGTAAGATAGTCTCCGTTCCTGCAAATGGGTTGGGGGGAGGTTTGGGAGTGTCATACCGTTGTTTATATTTGTAGTCTTGGCTTATCTTGGTGTGCGTTAATATTTTTTTCACCAATACAGCATCTCCCACAATTATGGGCCTGTGTCCTAACCCTAGGCTTTATTCTATGCTTGTGCCCTTCTTGTCAGCGTTAGTAGATATTTTTGAACTGGTAGGGCCTCCTAGGGTCTGCTGACTATTTTCTAGGTGCATTGGATTGAGTCAGTGTAAAGCCCTTATTTTTAGTTTTTTGATCCCCTTCTAATTATCCGGCATGCATAGCATTGTTGTTAAATAAAACCCACGTGTTATCAGGACTGCTATTCAATCCGCAAATCCCACCCTCGTAAATAATATGCACTTTTGGCAGAGCTCTCCACGCCAAATTCATTCGTACTTTTTTTGAAATTAAATCTTGGCCGCCACTATGACAATTACGCTATCTTATTCTGAACTTTAGCTGTCAATCCCCTCTGAGCATTTATATAATTTTCCAACAGCCACCTTATAACCTACGACCCCTTTTTCTCCCCAGTCTTGGTCTCTACGAAATGAACTGTTAGAAATCATTCTTTTCGGACACATATCGTGAGCTCCACATCGTTTGATCTCCAATCTAAGCGGTTCTCTAGTACGGCCTTCCAAAAGTTTCTCTCCACGGAGTGGACATCGAACTCCATACGTCGCGCTGGCGTAGCCATGCTTAAAGCATATGAGTCCATGAAAGCCATCACTTTCCAACAGTTGCAGTTGTAAGTTCATTTTTTGAATCAGACCGTTTCCTTAGTACATTGTAGTCGACGCGAGTCAGGACCTCGCATCGCAAAACCTATCTCTTTGCAACCTCAATTAGACCATTCCAATGGGACACCAGTTCTTTTAACTGTCTCATTCCATTCCCTCTGATCTTGCCTTTTCTAGTGGCTTAATGCGCCTAATTTTCGAGGCCAGCGAATTCCTTGGCTTTGCTCGGAACCGATACCACTATCATCCATTCAACATCTCCGAGGCAACCGTTCTTCGTCTCATTCGTGACGCAGGCGCCACCCTTCAAAAAGCGCAAGAACTCCATCTGTAGGATCGTCTCTTGTTTTTTTTGCTCTTATTAAACGCTCATCGCGGTACCAGTAAATCTCCCGTGGAATTTTTTCTGTCACCTTGTAACATTTTTTATAAGGCAACTTCTTCTGCCTCAGGCCGAATATTGCTTTCATTTGGGAGTTGCAAGTCTGGAGGCAATTTGTTCGAGGAACTCCTGCCCATTTTTTCTGTTGATTTCTTTGAAGGCATGCATCCCCCTTGTTAAGTAACAGTTCTACTGTCGATTCCAACGATTTGCACCGTGTACCCGACAGCATGCTGTGAGTAGGGACAGCGACTTGCGCGTAAATTAATTTGTGGTGATGGTAGACTTGTGCCCGCACCTAGGCTTGGTGTCGAGACAGGAGGCAGGATCGAGTCCAGGAGGTTGGCGCGGCGTAAACCCCCACCTAGGGGTGCCACCGCACCCGCTTCCTTAAGTACGCATCAGGGGAAATTTCTGGCTTCTCTCGTAAGACTGTAGTTCTCATTTAACCTCCAGGATCCGTACACACAAATTTAGCCGCCCTTACGTCCCCTATCAGAAAGAGTGGGGTGATAGACTGCCTTATTACCGTTACAGTGCCATTCCATGGCGCTCATGGGCCACCAAATTTGACTCCACAGCTGTACTGTGCACAGCTGACAACGCGAAGTAGTGCTGAAACACTACACTTTCCCATATCTTTCTTTTTCAGGGTCCTTTTGTGTACCGGAAGCTTTTCCACAATGCGTCGTTC